CAGGGTAAAATCCATGACTCATGGAAATACAAAATGAGCACGTCCAACATTTTGTTCAATTTAAGTAATGGGGAAACTAGTAAGATATTAGGACTTGTTCACAGAATATTTAAGGACCTAGATATTTATAGGCAATTTAACAAAAGAATGCTAGGATACAATTGCTGGGCTAGATACAAAATTGGTTAATATTCTACAGCACAAGATGATTATTGATGTTATCTTTCCCACTGGACAGAAATGATTTAGATTTCTACTGGACAAAGATCTACAGATTGACTTACAACTTTGCTAAGACTGGGAACTTTAGTCAAACGTAAAAAAGTTGAACAAAGTATCTTTCCCCAGATCTGTGCTGTCCAATATGGTGGCCACCAGTCACATGTGGCTTTTGTACACTTGAGATATAGCTAGCCTAAATCAAGATGTGCTGTAAGTACAAAATCCACAGCAGATTTCAAAGACTTAGTAGAATAAAATAATATGAAACATCTTATAAATAATTTCTCATATTGATTACATATTAAATTCATAATATTTTGGATATCATGAGTTAAATAAATTATACTATAAAAATTAATTTTATCTGTTTATTTTTATGTTTTTAATATGGCTATTAGAACACTTAAAATTATGCAGTTTGCACTTACGTTTCACAATATATTTTTATTGGGTTCTACATAATCCTTGGGGGAGCCCTTGTCCTCAAATGATGTCGAAGGGGCATGCCACCCATATTTAGGCTTCATTTCCAAGTCTTGAATAATTTTTATTACCAGAAATACGAATCATTTTGTTTTTCTTCATTTCTTTTGTAATTTTACAAAAATCTGTTAAATAGCTAAGCATTAATTCTATAATCTGGAAAAAGATTATTGTGCACATCTTTCGGAATACAGGAGTAAAACACTTAAGTCAGGCGAGGAAATGAGAGCACACAGAGCAGGTTTTGACTGGGACTCTCACCATACGTTTGGCTGTTAGCTCCAAAGCCCTCCTGCGAGTTATCTCCCCTAATGATCTTAAGCAGCCAAGCATTTCCTAGAGTCTATTTCAGAGAAAATGAGGGCGACCCAAGTGTGAGCCGTGAGAGCCTCCTTCGGATGAGAAGGAGCTCCCTGCACATCTCTGAGTAACACTCTCTCGAGGGGCCGTCAAGCCGCATGGTCCGCACTGGTGACACACATAAATCAGGTGGCAATGTGAGTTCCAGCTGCAGAGCAGGAGGTGGGGAGACCAAGATGTACCACATCCGGTCCCCGTAGGGTCCAGATTGGAGGCTACCTGAGGGTCAGAGACGCCAGAACCTGAGAGGGTGAGAGACTCTCTGGATCCTCAGACCCTGGGGCTGCTATATCTTTATGCTGTTTGATAGCATCTGCCTTATAGACCTCACAGGTACTAATCAACTTCATCGGGTGACACGTATCCCCAGGGAGACTCTTTGAGGGCTGGCTTTCATTCTGTTGGTATTTCACAGTATTCTCCTATCTTTGGGTGAAATTTAGGTACAAAAAAAGCCAAGGCACAGGGATTTGTGTTCTAGTCTTATACTGTTGTGTTGCCCGTGGTCAGCAATGTAAACCCCTAAACAGATGAGAATTGTTATACACTTAGGATTCAAGGTGACCCACAGTCTGAAATTGAATACTTTAGATTTTCTAAGCCATAAACATCTTCTCTACAGTATACAAAATAAAAATTGCTAATAGTATCTCTAACCCCTTGGGTGTTGAGGGAAGGGTCATTCAGATAAAAAATAGTATTTATGTGAATTATAAAACTAAAGTGGCAGTTTGCTTTAAAAATAATACCTTATCTCTCTCTCTTTTTTTAAAAAAGAGAGTGAAATTTCTTCAGATAGACATAGTAGCAGAATAGATTTATCCATGTTTGCCTTCTCTTTGAATTTTTATAATCAATTGCCCAGATTTTCAGTTTCACTTAGCAAAATGTAGACCAGTTGAAGTTGACTACTTCACTGAGGCTGATTCAATAAACACCTGAAAGAAAGTGTCCCCTCTGTATACGCCTCTGTTTTAGGGACAAAACAAAGAGGGTCAAGCAGCTTTTCGGAATTGTAAAGCTCTGCTTCAAGCAGACTGGTAGAACCCTCCCTGCTTACCGCTATTTCCAGGCCTCCACAGGCACAATTCCATTCATCCAGTAATGTTTTTTCATTTCCTCCAGCCTCACATCTAACTCCATCTGCCAATGTTTATTCCAGCAGTTCTCAAAATAAAGCCTGAAGACTCTTATGGTATCCGAGATCCTTTCAAGGCCATCTGAGAGGTCAAAACTATTTTTATAATAATACTAAGATCTTAATTGCTTTTTTCACTGTGTTAAAATTTACACTGATGGTGCAAAGCAATGGTGGCTAAAACTGCCAGCGTCCAGCGTTTACCAAGGCAGCGGTCCCAAGCCATAGCAACAGCGACTGCATTCTTCACCACCATGCATTCCGTTTCACTTAAGATGCCCTAGATGAAATGGCAAAAATTACTGATTTTGTTAATTTTGACCCTTAAGTACATTTATTTTTATTATTTTGTATGAGGAGATAGGAAGTACACAAAAAGCACATCTGCTGCGTACCAAAGTACGAGAGTTGTCTCCAGGAAAAAGACTGTGCAATGAACGTTTTGTACTGAACCATTAAAATCCGTTAGTTTATAGACGAAAATCCATGATTCTATATTCATACAGTCACAGTGAAATCCATTAGTCTACGTTGAATGAGTCTTTACGCATGTTCCGGTTTCTGTAACAACACGCCATGGTCATTTGGAAAATAGTTGTTCGCTGAGTTATCCAAGACTTCCAAATGTTGACTCGCTAAATGTGAGATTCTACAGATTTAAGAAATTACCACTTATAGAACTTTTGTGGAATAATGAAAGAGAATATCTAGCTGTCTGAAAAGGTTATTAAAATACTTTTAACTTTTCAAGCTACATATTTGTATGCGGCCAAGTTTTCTTCAAATATTTCAACCAAACTAACATAACACAACACAACAGATTGAATGCTGAAGCAGATCCAAGAATCCAGGCGTCTTCTATTGTTAGACATTAAGCAGATAAAACACATCAATACGAGACTCTGTGCCGCAGTCGTTTTTAGAGTGTAAAGGGGTTCTGAGACCTAAAAGTTTGAAAGCCTATCATCTGGTCAATCTTGTCTTATCCTGGAGGCTTTTGTTCATCTCCAGTACCGGGTTCACTCTTCCGCTGATATCTTCTAGCATAGTGCTTCTCGAACTTTCATGGGCATGTAGATCGCCTGAGGAAAGCGCTAAATAAAATGTGGATTCTGATGCCGTGCATCTGGAGTGGGGCCTGAGCCCCTGCATTCTAACAGGCTCCCAGATACGCCAGTGCTGCTGGTCCATAGATACCCCACTAAAGTAGTAAGAGTCAAACTCATACTCCCTGTGCCATGCACGTGATCCTCATCACTTCTGGCCTTGTGACATTTAAGTTGTTGTCTCACTTCTATTATTATTATTATCATTGTATTAGTGCTCGTGCATATATCATCAACTTGGTGCTAGACACTGTGCTAAGAACTTTACAAGTACTATCTCATTTAACGCTCACAGCATTCCCACGAGGTACATTCCATTTCTGAACCTAATTGACAGCTGAGGAGACTGAGGATAAGCAATTTACTGAGGTCACAAACAACTAGTAAGAGCCAAGATTTGACGCCATGTCCGTTTGATTCTGAGGCCACTGCTACTAATCACTACATTATATGGACTTATTTTAATTTCTCATAATATAGTTTTCACTTATATACGCCTTGTCTTTCTGTTTAGATCACGTGCTCCTTGAGGTCAAAACCCAAGGGTTACCTCATTCCTCTCTACATTTTTTTGCCCAGTACCTTTTGCAGAAACCTACAGTGACCCAATATATATATTTGCTGAATAAATGAACCAACATATATGTTGATGTACGATAACCAGCGACCCTGGAAGCCCAAAGCTGTTCTCCTCACCTGCCTTCAGTAGGACACAGACTCTGAATTATTTTAACACTTAGTAGTAAGACTGGATCTAGCAGATGAATTTCTGTTCTTTTATTCTAGCTCCTTTACGCCAAAACAGAAGTGCATAGTGTCTTATAAAAGTGTTTGCTGTGGCCCAGCATTGTTGGATCTTTACATCCTTTCTTACTTAATCAATTCACAGGGAAATTGAAAAAACAGGGAACTTCATAAAAATTCAGGTCACTCACTCTGGCTAGAATGGAGCCTCAGTTCTGCATTAGACTAATTGGAAGGAAGCGGCGGCAGCTCCCTGTAGCAGGGTTTGCATTCTCCTGGTCAGTGCAGGGCCCAACCTCCCCAACCTGCCCCAGCCCTCAGGCTGTCTGTTGGCTTCAGTCACGTAAGTGTGCATCCCCAATTTTAGAACACTTGGGTGCTTGTAGAAATGACAGTTTGCTACCACCGAACAAGATCTATGTCAAAGAAGTGACTACGATTTTAAAGTCATTTCTGCAACGTGACTGACAATGACTTTGTCTTAAAGATCAGTTTAAATCTTTACTTTTTGGAGTTTTGCAATTGCCACACTCTTGAGGATGTCCTAGCTAGCCAGTTCTTCTCTCCGAGGTTCTGGATTGAGAGAGCAGAAAAAGGGAAGCAGGCAGGAAATTCCTACGAGGAAGAGGTGAGAAGGAGCTAAGGTTTGGGGAAAGGCATGACATAACAGTGAGACACGAAGGAGGGGACAGATGGGGAATTTAAAAATTAGGTGTTTTTGAAAGTTATTCATTCTAATTTTTTTTTGTTTAGTGTGTTCTTTTGAGGAAGATTAGTCCTGAGCTAACATATGCCGCCAATCCTCCTCTTTTTGCTGAGGAAGACTGGCACTAAGCTAACATCCGTGTCCATCTTCCTCTATGTTACATGGGACACTTGCCACAGCATGGCTTGCCAAGCAATGCGTAAGTCCACACCCAGGATTTAAACTGGCGAACGCAGGCCACCAAAGCGGAACGTGGGAACTGAACAGCTGCACCACTGGGCCAGCCCATTCTTATTTTTTTAAGTTAAAACCATAATTTATAGACTATACCAGAAAGGGCAGTTTTTTGAAAGCCCAGAATCAACTTTGCATTTCTGTGAAAAGCTTCCTCAAGAATGCTGACTGCACTCTTAAAGGAGCGGGAAACAGCCACAGTTAGCTTCTGCGTAGGTCTCTGAGGTTTACGGAGCTGCTTTGCTGAAAGCTCGTTGATCCTCCCTGCAACCTGGTTAGGCAGATGGTGCTACCTTTCTGTTGACGATGAAGACACCTGCCCAGGTGCTCAAGGTCACTCATCGATTAAGTATTCAGTGGAAGTCCAAAATTCAGTGGAGTAAATTTGAAGCTCTGATTAGATTTAAGAGATTCATGAATCAAGCAGCATCCTATCTAGTAAGTAGAAGCGTGCTCTGCGGGGTTGCACAAAATGAAAGGTTTTATAGGAAGGAGAGTGGTTATAGCCTCACTTGTATTTCTTCCTGACCACGCAAGCAGGCCCTGCCAAGGAAGAGAATCCTGAATCACGAAGGCCTCCTGGCAGGCCCTGCCTAGAAGAGATTGGGGTGCAGTTAGATAACCTCAGAGGCATAGCCCAGCCATACCCCAGCCATCTAGGCATTCATAGGCCCAAGGAAGATGATCACCACCACAGACAGAGGTAAATCCTGTTGGCGCACAAACTACTTCCACTAAGGTTACACTGTTAATGAGTTCATTCATAGAGATAGATTGTTGCATTTTCCTGTTCAAGCCCGGGGTCAGTTAGTTTTCTCTTACCCTTAAATAAAGAGTCATCCTAAATGCCTTGCAAAGATGGATGCTGCCGGTGAGATCTCTTAGCAAGTGAGGGTAAATCTGATCTAGGTAATTGTGGATAGGTTGGAAACTTTGATGACAATTCTAGCAATCTGGAAAGTTACCCCCCCCCCCCCCCCTTAGCAATGGCCTGGGAGATACAGATCAGGATATTATCTTTTCAGGTCAATGAAAGATAAGAAGAAAGGGTTTCATATTTCACTAAAGTAGGAAGTCTCGATCGAGCATCTTGGGCAGAAGCAGTCTACATCAATATCAGCTACTTCTCTCCCTTATCAGTTTGATCCCTAGGTCTCCAGCATCTGTACAGGACTGGATGTCAGGTGGAAACTTCTTCAGCTGTGAGATGTATCTTCAAGGTTCAATGCCTTCTAGTCTTGCAGCAGTGTCAGTGGTCAGGAGCACTTGCTAAATTCCCTTCCAACAGGGCTCAAGGGCTGTCTTTCTCTGAACGTTTCCAAAATACCCAGTCACCAGGCTCTTGACTGTGACCAACAGGATCCTTTAAATTGGGTTCTGGGAAAGCTTCTTTAACCTGTTGATGATAGGTTTGACCATAAAACATTAGAGACTTGCAGTAGCTGGTCACACTAGCATGAGACAACAAAGGATCAACAGAAGGTTGCATATACTAGACACTGGTCTGCCAGTGACTATCTCCTGTGGAGCGAGTTTATGTTTTCCAAAGGGAGTACTGAGAACAGTTGGTGAGACTAAAGGTAATAGCTAAGGCCGACGAAGTTCAGTCTACAGGTATATAACAAAACTTCACAGACAATTAACAGGACTAGAATCTAACATCTACAAAGGTGAAAACAATTGTTCTCTCCACAATTACCCCTGTTTTTTACCAAAGATAATCACAGTAAAACTAAATTTGTCTGCTTTCAACTTGGCCTGATTATTTATATAAGTACAGCGAGAATAGTGCTTGACAATATAAGTTCCTTTTAAGATCGCTTTATTGAAATTTAGTAATCAAGGTACCAGGTCATTTTTTTCAAGCATTTCCTTGAAGCCATCTGGTCATATCTGAGTCTGTGCACATCTCTCTCAAATACGACATTCCAGTCAAAGCCTTGATAATATAACCAATGTTTGTAAGTGTGTCCTGTTACAAGGAGAACAGATTCTAATTGAACTCACGCCAATAACTATTTTGCCATATAAAAAACACTCAAGAGTTTCCAAATCTGGAGGGATCAGATAAGGAGAAAAAGTAAATGTTTTCATTTTTTTGTTCACAAAGGTATACTTTACCAAATTACTGTAAGTCATAGATAGCTTAAAAGATTTCTTTAAATCTGGAAAAACAAAACATTAGAGCACCCTCTCGAGTTCATACCGTCCTATGTAATTAATACTTGCTCTGCTTGAATCCAGTATTTACATTAGTTCTCTTGACCTTGCCTGATGATTGACGGTGATAGGGAGAGTGATAATTTCAAAAAGTTTGCAAGTTTTCATTAAGACTCATGATTTGCTCATTAAAGCAGATGCCTTAACCAATGGAGATTGTGGAAGTTATACTCCAAGTGGGAAACACATTTTCTAACAATTTCTTTTCCACTGTGAGGGCATCACCCTTGCAACTAGGGAAGGTTGCGATGCATCTGGAAACATACATATGAAAACAAGAACATATTGACAACCCATACTAAGTGACGGCTGAATGAAATCCAGCTGCAGGTGTTCAGCAAAAGGAAATCTGAGGCCTCTGGGGATAAAAACAGTTTTCCTTAAATGCAGTATGGTGAATGAAGGAATGCAAAAACTGGAAAATGGGGTTTGCCAGGGAGCCAGGAAGAACCAAATGGCTGTCTTGGGTTTCCCACAGTCTTGACTGTTTAATTTACAACGGTTATTTACACATTTTTCTTTCCTTGATTCAGGAGCAGACTGTTGCCATGTTACAAGGACATCAAGATGGTGAAAGTCAGCCAGTGAGGGATCATTTTTCACAGAAGCGGAATGGATTTCATACATACGTATCTATGCAAATACAACACGAAGAAGTCTTAGTATTACTTCTTATTTGACAATGCATCCCATGGAATTTAACTTAACAAGTAAGCCTAATTAGCTTAACAAATCTTTTGGAATGTTCCAGGGGCCCTCTGGAAAAATGTCAAAGTTTCTTCCAGGCCAAAAAGACTTCATTTAGAATCTGATTTGTGGAAGTTTGTCAAAAATATGAAATAAAAAAAGATTTTAAAACACTTGCCTAAATAGGATCACAGATCATTTTGAGACATTACTTAGTTATCTATTAAACCAAGCAAGAATTAAAGATTTCACAAGCAAATATAGAAGGTTACACAGCTGTTAGCAAAGCTTAGCTCTTAATGTTGTGAAGAATCACTTCCCTCAAGTAATCAAAGACCTGATAGACAGTAAACACAGGAAATTATTTTAATAAAACACTTAAAGGGTAAAGAAACTTTCACAATGTGTTATTAAACCATTCCAAGAGTCCAAGAAAACTTTATCCTTTCAGTAAATGAAAGAAAATTAAGTTCTAGTCTTACATAAGTACATTATTGATATTAAAGCTTAAATTAAAAACCTCTAAAATAATAATTTAATTTTGCCAGCCTGGTTCTTTCTCTCTGCTTCTTTCTATATATATTTAGTCTTCTCCTTCATTTTCTTCCTTCTCATTCTGGCAAAATTACTCTCATTTCTCTTAACAAAAATATAACTTTGAATTAGAATTTTTAACCTTGAAAAACTGATTTCTAGTGAAAAATAATGAAGTAAACAATCATGAACTATCTTTTATATTAGTATTCTGTGGATTGGCAGACATAAATAATTTTTATAACCTCTAGAAACGTGATTTTTCATAGAAAATTTCTCTGACATAAAATATGTTTACTTGTTTACTAATAGATCCAAACTTATCTTTAGTTTCTCTGCAATAGAAAGCCAAAAAGTAGATACACCTATGTTTAGTAATTAATGTTTCATTACTTTATCTTATTTGGAAATGATCTAAGTATTTACAAATTTCCTATCATTTAATTTAACTTAGCAAAACTCTAAAGTTTCAGATTACCAAAAGTGATTTGGAAGCTATTTTTAACCACACAGACATGGGATATAGTTGTTGCTAAAAAGCTTTATCTATAAACTCTTATCCCAGTTACATCTATCTAAATTATTTGTTTCCAACAACTAAATTTACATTGCCCATGAAAACTTCATGAGACATTAGACAAAATTAACCATTATTCCAAGCTATTTTTTGCTGACAAATTTTACAACAGAGATAACATGAACATAAGGTTGTTTATCTGCATTACATCAATGTTGAAAACTTTAAAGACATGCCTATTTTAATTAAATCAACAAACTTGCACTAACTTTTATTTACCAAGCATTATCCTGGATCACCTGAACTTGAAAAGCATTTGGGTTAGTTTCTGTTACATTTCTAAGAACTTTACAATTCCCAATCCTTGCAAGTGCTTGACCTTTAACCCAATTAAATAGAGCTCTTTTACAAACTAATTTTGGCAATCCCATCCAGAGGCAGAAAATACCACAGCTACAACATATATATAGACATATAGGCAGATACAAATGGAAACCTTATAGTTACTAAAATTTGTGGAGAAGATTTGTAAGATTTCTAATTAGTCCAATTTCCAAATTCCTCCTCTCTCTTTTTTTCCTTCTAATGAAAAACATTTGCATTTCAAAGAATGGCTCTTAGGTCCTAGAGAAGACAAGGGTAGAAAATCTACATCACAAAAGCACAGAGAAGGTATCCTAGTTTTCTCCAAGATGGAGTTTTTGGAGCATGTTTTCAGGATGATTCTGTTTCTAATGTCTCATTATGTATAAGTATTTTGATGAATGGGTGATGTTTTGGGATTGGCAAAAAGGACTGACACACTCATCCCCCTATTATTGGAGTGTCTCTTTCCTTTTTGGTACATTGTCTCATTTTAACTTAGGGGAAGAAGCCTAAAAAGAAAATTCCTATCAGGCTTGGATTATCAGCTTTCAATTTGGCCAAATTTCTGATCATAAAGTTAGTAAATCCTTTTATATATCTTGTCAGGTTTCATCTGGGACAAACAGTAAATATTTCTGGCAGTACTGGACAACCTCATTAATTTTAATTTTAGTTTTCCATTGGCTGTTTAAGCAAATAACATAACAGTTTATCAGGAAATCTCTGAGTCTTATCAACTTTGGGAGGAGCCCATATGGGAGCCCTCCTTCAATGGTGTCTGTAAGGCCATTAACTTGATGAACTTTTGTTTATGGTTGTGCAGTCCTTTCAGATAGAAAACAATTCAGACAGAGGATTAGTGGAATGACTACTCAGGTAGAGGAGGATAAAGGAGGCAGTAGGAGTTACATCAGAGTTACATCAGTCTTATGTCTTTTGTTTCAGGTACCTCTTATCCCTTTAATTTTTCATTAGCCTTTTGCAATGAATCTTTCAGTGCTGAATCTTGAAACATTTTGGAAGCTTCTGCATTGATTTGATCTAATTAGAATGTTCCCCATAGTGGCCATTGTAATTCTAGGTAGTCTTTACTCAAATTTTGCCATTTTTGTAGATATCTACAACTCCTGGGACCACAGTTCTTAGATATAAAATAAACAATTGTGCTGGAAGGCGGTGAACTCAATTCTTGGAAACTTGAGATCCCATTTCTTTTAGCTAAGACCTTGGGTTTCTCAGAGTCAAACTAAAACTTATTGAATTTCAATCTGAAATGCTATGGGCTTGGCTCTGGGCAGAACCATCTACCCGTTTAATTGGGCTTTGGGCAGAACCAACTACCAGCTCAAGCCGATCTGCTCCTTAAAGGAAAGTTTATGAGATTGGGAGCTCAAATGCAAAGAGAAGAAAGCTTGACTGAGAGAAACTTACCAACCCACCTTGGAAACCACAAGAAAGACAGTGAACTCAAAATGAGGTTTGTGGGCATCCCACCTTGTTTCTTATTGTCTCCAGATCCCATCAGAAGTTCACTTTGATCTCACTGCTGCCACCAAATCTGTTAAAAAACAAAATTAAGCTGAACAAATTTGGAGATCTAATTGGCTTTATTAGGTGATTATCAGGCAGCATCCCATCTAGCAAGGAGAATGATGCTCTGAGGAATTGTACAAAATGGAAGGTTTTTATATGAAGGAGGGTGAGGCAAGGGAATTATTAACAAAAGGAAAGACAGAATTATTTTGGGCCACGACATCTTCTTTTTGAGGGGGGAAGAGAACTGGCTTGTATTTTATCATGAAGATTGCCTCACAAGTGCAACTCAAGAAATTTCAGATTGACTGTTTGAAGATCACATTCCTGGGAGGAGCTGAAACTGTAATTAAGTCTTGGTTTGCTGTCATGGGGGCCATTTTGGGCCTGTTATTGCTTTTTTAAAATAAATGTAATCATATCCTATGCTCCTTCCATTTCTTATAGTAGCATTATTGGCATAAAACCACTTTAAAAGTGTATAGTTAAGTTGTATATTGGACTGGAGCTCATTGAGAGTAAGACTAGTAGCTTTTATCTCTGAATCTCCATAAAAACAATTAGCAAATATTTAGTTAATTTAACCTCTCTATTACCTTTAATACAAATCTTTTGGTTGCTACAGTTACCCATATTTAGAGAAGCTGCTTTCCATTCTCTGCCCATCTTTGCCTTGAAGTTGTTTATTTCTTCTTCTATGTTCATTGTTGGAGAAAAAATTTTATTCTGACTTGTTAAAATAGTAAAGCAGACTTTATTCAGGATCACTGTGACAGATATAGGGACCACTGCAATGGGGTTTTGCAATAGGGGAGAGAGACTGGGCTCAATTTTGAGCATAAGAAGGAAAAGTTGGAATTTAAAAACAAGGAGCAGAATTGGGGGTTGGGGGTGAGGGTGTGTGTATGCACAGAGTGGGGGAGTTTATAGATGGAAAATTACTACAAGGGTAGGGTAATTGTTTGCTAGCCTGACCTAATAGGACTCTTCCTGAGGCAGGCCATATTGATCAGACATCACCTGGTTGATGGTGGAAGATGAGGAATTTGGTCAGATATCAAAAGTGATCAGATTGAGGGTGGAGAATCCTGGCTAAACCAAATTGACAGGATTCTTGCTAAAACTGGGCTCTTGACACATCCCCAAGCAAAAGGTCTAGTTGAAAAAGAGCTCAGAGGAGCCCAACCGGCATTTGGCCAAGGATGACCAATGATGACATGACCAAGATGACAAAGAGTCTCATCATGCTTATTGAATGAGTAATAGATGAGTGGAGAATCAATGTTAACCCCATTTCCTTCTGGTTTTCAGTCCTGTTTCTAATGAGTATGTGAGTATGTGTGTGTGGTTACGTGTGCATGCACAGGTATGGGGGTAGAGAGAGATTGACGCCAAACATAAGGTTGTATAGACAGGTATCCCTTTACCTTGATTAGCATTTGGCCAATAGCTTTTCCTTTCCATGCTAACTATTGTCTTTAACCATAAATGGAGGGAACTGATTGAGAGGATTTCTAATTTCTCAACCAGCATGAAACTATGTGTTGAAATTTTGCTTTTATACTTTGGTTGCCTTGACAGTAGTGGGGGCATCAAGAAATGTGGTGACAAGGAGACTTTGCTCCCCATCCTCTGAGCCTTCCATTACTCACTAAGCACAATTGACATTTTTTCAATCATTCATAAACTTATGTTCAAACTTAACTACAAAGCAAGTCCCTAGGCCCCTGTTTCTAAGTGAATTGCCACCCTTAAGGCTTAAATTTCTTGAATAAATTTAAATTTCTTAAATAGAAATTCTGGGGTCACCATGTTCTGTAGGCGCCAAACAGAAGCTCAGAGACATGTGGTTGTGCATCTTTCTACAGCTGCCACCATGGGTTATAAGAACACCGCTCTCCCCATATGGCTGTCAAGGACCTCTCCACAAAGTCACGTATCACTGGATGTGCTGAGTTTGGCAAAATCACAGCGTATCTGTGTTTCTATTTGTGTTAAAATTCTGGTCTCTTTCCTTGTGTCTCATTGATAAAATTGGATGCCATTTAGCAAATGTTTATCATGTGCCAAACATTTTGCATATATTATCTCTAATCCTCATAAAGCTCATGCAAGATATAATTATACCCAAGTTACTAATGACAGAATTTGGATTTAAAAAGAATGGATAGTTTGTACCAGAACTGGGTTTGACTCCAGCTCAATTCAGATCATGTGTTCTTCTGAATTTATCATGCTATTGCAGTGTTCTCTCCTTTTTCTGGATACAATTAACATCTGAGGATCCAATGCAATGCATCTCCAATGTAAAACAGGGCAATCAGAAAATACTTCTTCCTCAGAACTTGGGCTTATTTACTCTGCTTACTGACTGTCCAGACTCAGGCCTCTCTACCCCTCTCTGCTTCATATGAAGGGGCTTAACCTTTTCCTGGCCAGGATACTCAACATCTCTCAGACTCCCCTGCAAGAGGTGGAATCCTGGTTTTAACTGTCATTGGTTCATCTTTAACTTGTTTTGCATAGTGATCATTAATCACAGTAAAAGAGTAACAAGGACTTCTTAGGAAACTTCAATTCACTTGTGTTTCATCCCATAGGTCCTCACAAGAAAAGATTCTTGTCTATTACCATGCAATTCCAGATTTTTGGACAGGAATAAACCTTAAAGTTTACTTCTTCTACTCCTTCACTTTGGGTATGACTAAACCAAGGCTTAGTGAGGTGCAATGACTTTATTTACAACATGTACTAAGTAGATAGTGGAGGAGGACTGGAATTCAGGTCTCCTGACTCACCACACAGATGTCTTTCACACACCTCACTGAGTCCAGAAGACTCTGGTGTAACTCGTAACCCAGGTGAGTCATTTTTGCCTGTCCCCCAGTCCCAGATGAACCAACTGCCAACATGGCCATGAGATTTTCCCAATCTGAGAGGGAAGCCTGACAAACGATGAGCGTTGATCTACAGCGCATTGTCCTCGATCAAACTGAAAAGTACCCTGCTGTCAGACAACCTGTTTAGAAACCCAAACAATACAAGGCAGCCAGTCCTGTCAGCTAGAGACAGGCTTCCTGCTGGCAAGCTAAATGCTTAGAGGCAGTTACATTTTAACTTGTCTCAAAAAGAAACTTCCAAATGCTCTGAAGCCAACAACTTATTGAACCACAGAGAAAACAGTGCGGAGCTCTAGTTGAGATATTCCCTTCTTTTATCGTTGAGAATTTTGAAGTTTTGAAATTGAGGGAGAATGACTGACTATAGCTGGGACCCATTTGAAGGGAGGGTTGGGTGGGAGAAGCTGTCCAGTGGCAGTCTGGTTCTTCATTGGTCGCTGGGAACTTAGGCTATGTTCAGATAGACCTCTTTCTAACTGGAAACCATGGAGGGGTCATTTCACCATTTTAGAGCTTACTTTCCTCACTGATACAATGAGTGACCTAGGCCAAGCCATCACTAAGATTCTTTCAACTCTTCTAAGATAAACCAGAGAACTATAAAATTTAACTAGCATCTTCCATCTAGATTTCATCTTTACTCCCACCTTGCATGCCTTTTGCTCCCTCATGACCTCCAGTCTTTAATTTTTTCCATTATTTGAGGATTTAATTCCTCTCCTAGCCTCTCTTACCTTCCTGACCAGCCTAAACTGTTCATCAGTATTCTCAGCTCCCTTGCCTCCTTGTCCTTCTGCCCTACCAACTTTGTTAATTGCTACTGTTTGATCAGCTTAGTCTCCTTTTATTCCTAAGAAACTAAGTCTTAATGGGAAAAAAGAGATTTAGCTGTATTAATTGGATCCATTCCAAATTTATGATTTTCTTTCAAGAAGATTCTCAGTGCTCTTCAGAAATTCTCTTAATCATTTCTAGTGGGCTTCCTCTTACATTCCCTATAATAGTAAGCCCAAATATTTATTATCTTTCTTGATATCCTGTTTTCATTCATGATTATGAATTAGACGGCATTTTCAACAACTATACGAGAAATTTTATTGTATGAAGTCAACAGCTATGAATTAAACACTTAGTATTACCAGGCCCAGTTCCAGGTAGCAAGGATAAAAGAAAATATTTGTGTTCTTAGATTCTAGCAGGGAGAATGGAAACAAACAAATAAACAAATAAATAAAACTGGAAAGGAGTTTCCTTGAGTCTAAGCTGCTCACTTGTCGGGCAAGACCCCATGGTGCTACACACAGAATAACTACTGGGGGCAGCGAGCCAAATTAAGGTTCCAGAGTTCATGCAGGGTGGGGGAGTTCTGGAGTATGTTAAGTATTGCTAAGTAGTATGGAGCAAAGAAAGCAGGCGAAGAGGATAGAAAGTGAGGGAGAGATATATATTGTATACAGGATGGTGAGGAAAAGCTATTTAGGTGAATTTAGGGCAGTTATTTTGAAGAAGAGAGGATATAAATCATGTAGATAAGGGAAATAAGCTTTAGTTATTGATAACTATAAGTAAACATTCTGAGAAATGAAGTGAATCCATATGAGGAAGAATCAAGAAGGCCAACATGTCTGAATTTGAGAGAGTGAGGGCTAGATTGAGATATGAAGTCAGAGAAATACTAGAGGGAGAGATGACCCAGGACCTTACAAGGGCCTTGAAAAGGTTTTATACTTTTATACTGAGAAAGATAGGAAATCTCTAAAAAGTTTTGAAATAAAAGGAATAATAAAGGATAATATGTTAGTTTTTTTAATATGCTAGACGTCTGCTTCCGATTATTAAAGGGTAATTGGCACCAGTCTAGCCCTCCCAACATAAGCATTATACAAATGAATCAAATATATGAAAAAAACTATTTAAAATTTTTGGACCACAGATAGCATGGGACTGTAATCCTAGAAAGAAAGGAAAATAATTAAGTCAGTCAAATAATTGTCCTGGATTTCTGCCTGGAGGCCCTTTCTAAACAGCAGTTCAGGAATTTTGAGTCTATACAGATTTTAATTCCATACAAGTCAATAAACAAACTCATACAGACTATAGTGGTCTTGAAGGGTTGAGAACACATAAATCAAAGTTTGGAGTAGCTGAGGCAAAGAGAATTTAAAAAGTAGTGTATCAGAAAGGAGGGAGGTATGCAGAGAAGAAGCTGAGGAAAACTGCATAGGGATCCCCTTGAGTCTTGGATAAACACTAAGCTGCTCATGTGTAAGGAAAGATTTCATGATCCAGGGCAAAGAGTTAAGCATTGAGGAGCTATAAGCCAAATAAGGATTCTGGAGCTCATGCAGGAGCTAGGAGATGTTGTGGTTCTGACCATCCTGAGTGGAAAGACATTACTGAATTACCCAAGCCTTTAGTGGATACATGAGAAAGGTCACACTCCTGGGCTACTATGGCCCAGTAAATGCTCAAGATTCTCCCTACAAAGTTCTTAAAAATTCTAAGATAATCAAAATGATCTATAACAAAACTCAACACTCAACAAAGGAAAATAACAAAATCCCAGCACTCAACAATTTAGTACTCACATCACAATGTCCAAAGTACAATTAAAAATACTATATGTGCAGAGAAGCATGAAAAAAATGCATCAATAAAAACAGACCTGGAGGTGACTCACAGGCTAACAGACAAGATAGCACTGAAAAGACAAGAACTTTACAATAGCTACTACAAATATACTTGAGGATTTAAAGGAAAATATGAGTATAATAGAGAAGAGATGAGATGTCTCAATAAATAAATGGAAAATAAGCCAGAGCAATAGGAACTACGCAGACTGAAACATACATAAAAACATATGGAAAAAAATATAAACAGAGCATTGTTGACCTATGAGTCATCAAGCAGAACAACTTAAGTGTAATTTAAGTCCCAGAAGGAAAGGAAAAAGTAACTAGAACAGCAAAAAAATTTATGCAGCAATAATAGACAAAAAACCTCCCAAATCTGATTTAAAAATATATATACAATCTAACAGATCCAAGAAATTCATGAAGCATAAACACAAAGAAAACAACCACACAAGGGCACATCATATACAAACTGCTTAAAACAAATGACAAAGAGAAAATCTTAAAAACATTAGAGGAAAAAAAGATGCAAGAGAAACAAGAATGTCCACTTACTTTTCATTAGAAACAATGCAAACAGGTGGACAATGAGATGTTATCATTGAAGCAAAGAAGCAATAATTTTTAGAAACCTCATCAAGTTGGAATTCTGTATCTAGAAAAAAAATAGCCTTCAAAAATCAAAGTGAAATTAAAACAATTAAGACGAAAGTTGAGAAAATTTAAGCCTGGCCTGGTGGCATAGTGGTTAAGTTTGCATGCTCCACTTCAGTGGCCCAGGATTCACAGGTTCAGATCCCAGGTGCAGACCTAGCATCGCTTGTCTAGCCACATAAAAAATTAGCTCAAATGCATCAAAGACCTAAGTACAAGGGCTCAATCTATAAAATACTTGGTAGAAAATTTAGGTGTAAATCTTTATGACCTTAGATTAGTCAATGTCTTCTTAGATATGATACCAAAAGTCCAATTAAAAAAATATAGATAAATTGAACTACATCAGAATTTTTTTTTAAATTGTGCTTCAAATAATACAATTAAGAAAACATAAAAGGTAGCTTTGGGAATGGAAGAAAATATTTTTAAATAATATATTTGATAAGAGCCCAGTATCCAGAATATATAAGGAAGTGTTACTGCTCACAACAAATAGGAAAATAACCCCAGTAAAACATGGATGAAAAGGTGCTCAGGAGGAGTTTGGAGCATGGCAGTGTAAGAAGCACTGAATTCGCCTGCTCCCACAAACAGAGCATGACTACAACTACCTGTGGAACAATTTCATCTGAGAATATCTGGAAACTGCATAAAAAGAACCCCCACTAACAAGGGACAACACAGACAAGGGTGGAAAAGACACAGTGCTGATGAGAAAAAAAATACTCCAAACACACCGTAGCCAATGTGCTTCACGGCTGGGAGTGATCTCAACGGTATGAGCTTTTTCTAGAGGAGTGGGAATCAAGCTCACATAAGCCACCCCAGCCCTTAGATACAGCATATGAGAGACAAGATCCCATAATACCCAGCTTTACTGCTTTGAAAACCAATGAGGAATATACCCAAGAACACTAAGGAACCTCAGCGAAAGAAAAACCTGCTCTTAAAGGGCCCACACACAGACTCACTAGACCCAGAAGCCAGCACAACAGCACCAGATAGAAAACTGCATAGTCCATCGGTAAAAGAGATTCACTTACCAAGCTCAGAATTCATCCCTGAGAGGCAGGAGGCAGCTGGGCCCTCTCCCCAGGGACTAAGACACTGGAAGCAGCCATTATTGTGACCTAGTTCAGTGGTGCTGAAGCTGGCAGGTGCCATTGGAATCCTCCTTCTAGTCAGTTAGGGCAGGAGTTTGCCTGACCCACGAGAACACCTGACATGATGCAGCTCAGCAAAGCAGCAGGCAGCCTGTTCCAGGGACTACCACCAGTGAGCCTCTGGTGGCCTGGTGGGTCTGTGGTGGACTTGTGCTGCTGGCCATCACAAACAGCCACACAGGGAATCTAGCCCACTTTCCAACTCTTGAAAGAGATTTCCACTGCCTCCCCTGGGGGCTGGCCCTCCTATCACCCAGTTCTTACCAGAGGCCTGACTCATCCAAAGGCTAGCTGATGAAAGTCACACCAGCAAAGCAGTAAGCCTCACCTGAAGCCTGGCCCACGCCCCACACCCCCACTAAAATAGAGAGAGCCAAGCATGGCAGGGAGCTGCACCAGGAGCCTGCAGCATTTGTTTGCCCCTCAGCCTAGCAACCAGCCACACAGGGGGCCTGACTCACTTATTAGCAAAAGTGCAGTAGTTGTGTGCTACTGAAATCACAGTAAGCCGTGCTGGGACCTTGCCTTGCCCAATAAAGTGCCCTTAGGAGCCACACAAACCTGAACCTCATAATCAGTCAGCCCAGGGGCTAACTTAGCCTACCTGTGCACCAACAGCATAGCAACCCCACCACAACAAAAGTGCACATGCAGCCCACATAGAAGACACTCCTGGAGCATTTGGTGCAGGTGACAAAAGGAGAGCACATTGTTGGGCCCTATAGGGCATCTCTTACATAAGGATGTATTTCCACTTTTGGGAGATATAGCCAATCTACCTAACACACAGAAAAAACGCAAAGAAGTAGGCAAAATGAGGAGACAAAAGAATATGTTCCAAATAAAGGAACAGGATAAATCCTCAGGAAAAGAACTAAACAAAACAGAGATAAACAGTCTATCTGATAAAGAGTTACAAACTAATAGTCATAAGGATGCTGACTGATCTGGGGAGAATAGATAAACACAGTGACAACTTCAACAAAGAATTAGAAAATATTTTAAAAGACAATCAGAATTGAAGAATACTGTAAAGTAAAAAATTCACTAGAAGGAATCAACAGCAGAGTAGATGACACAGAAGAACAGCTCAGTGAGCTGGATGAAAGAGTAGAGTAAACTGCCCAAGCTGAACAGAAAAAAGAAAAAAAGAATTAGAAAGAATGAGGACAGTCTAAGGGACTTCTGGGAGAACATCACACATACTAACATCTGCATTGTAAGTGTCCCAGAAGGTGCAAAGAGATACAAAAAGGCACGAAACTATTTGAAGAAATAATATCTGAAAGCTTCCCTAACCTGGGGAAGCAAGTAGATATCCAGGTAAAGGAAGCACCAAACACAATGAACCCAAAAAAGCCCATACCAAGGCACACTATAATTAAAATGTCAAGAATTAAAGAGAAAAAGAGAATCCTAAAAGCTACAAGAGAAAAGCAACAAATTACACACAAAGGAAATCCCATAAGGCTATTAGCTGACTTTTCAGCAGAAACTTTACAGGCTAGAAAGCAGTGGCATGATATACTCAAAGTGCTGAAAGGATAAAACCTAAAGCCAAGAATTCACTACCTGGCAAGTTTACCATTCAGAATGTAAGGAGAGATAAAGAGGTTTCCAGACAAGTGAAAACTAAAGGAGTTCATTACCACTAAACTGGCCTTACAAGAAATGTTAAAGGGAATTATTTAAGTGGAAAAGAAAATAACACAAATAGGAATAAGAAAATTATCAAAGAAAAAATATCACTGGTAAAGGCAAATATAAAGGAGAGGTAGTGAATCAACCACCTATGGAGCCAGTATGAAGGTCAAAAGACAAAAGTACTAAAATCACCTATATCTATGATAAGAATTTAAGGAATACACGAAAATAAAACAGGTAAAATATGACGTCAAAAACATAAAATGCGGAGGGGGAGTAAACGTGTAGGGCTTTTAGTAAGAAGTCAAACTTATGAACCATGTGGTAACCACAAAACAAAAACCTATATGAATACACAAAAAGTTAAGAGAAAGGAACTCAAACATAAAACTAAAGACACCTATCAAACCACAAGGGAAGAGAGCGAGAGAAGAAGAAAGGAACAGAAAAGAACTACAAATCATCCAGAAAAAAAGTAACAAATGGCAATAAGCATATGCTTATCAATAACTACTTCAAATGTAAATAGACTAGATACTCTCATCAAAATACACAGGTTGGCTGAATGGACAAAAAAACAAGACCCATATATATGCTGCAGAGAAGAGACACACTTCAGACCTAAAGGCACTCACAGGCTGAAAGTGAAGGGATGGAAAAAGATACTCCATGAAAATCGAGTGAAAAGGAAGCTGGGGTAGCAATACTTATATCATACAACATAGACTTTAAAAAAAAAGACAGTAACAAGAGACAAATAACGACATTACATAATGATAAAGGGGACAACCCAACAAGAGGATATAACGCATAAATATCTATGTGCCCAACATAGATCACCTAAATACATAACATAAATATTAACAGACATAAAAGGAAAAATTTACAGTAACACAAAAATAGTAGGGGACTTTAACACTTTACTTACTTCAATGGATAGATCATCCAGACAAAAAATCAATCTGAAAAGATTGGTCATAATTGACACATTAGACCAGATAGACTTAGTAGATATATACAGAACATTCCATACAAAACCTGCAGAATACACATTCTTTTCAAATGCACATGGAACATTCTCCAGGATAGATCATATATTAGGCCACAAAACAAGTCTCAATAAATTTAAGAAGTTTGAAATAATAACCAAACACTTTTTATTAACACAAGTGTATGAAACTAGAAATCAACTACAAGAAGAAAGCTAGAAAAGTCACAAATACATGGACATTAAACAAAATGCTACTGAACAACTGTTGGATCAATGAAGAAATCAAAGGAGAAATCAAAAAATACTTAGAGACAAAAGGAAATGAAAATAAGACATACCAAAATTTATGGGATACAGCAAAAGCCGTACCAAGAGAGGAAGCTTATAGCAAGACAGACTTACCGCAAGAAGCAAGAAAAATCTCAAGTAAACAATCTAACAGTACACCTAAAGGAACTAGAAAAAGAAGAAAAAATGAACTCCAAAATCAGTAGAAGGAAGAAAATAATAAAAATCAGAGTGGATATAAATGAAATACAGACTAAAAAGACAATAGAAAAGATCAATGAAACTAAGAGCTGGTTCTTTGAAAAGATAAACAAAATTGGCAAACCTTTAGCTAGATTCACCAAGAATAAAAGAGAGAAGGCTCAAATAAATAAAATCAGAAATGACAGAGGAGAAATCACAATGTACACCACAGAAATACAAAGGATTATAAGAGAATACTAAGAAAATCTATATACCAACAAATTGGAAAATCTTGAAGAAATATATAAATTCTTAGGATCAAACAACCTTCCAAAACTGAAAGAAGAAGAAATAGAGAGAATCTGAATAGTCCAATCTCCAGTAAGGAGATCAAAATAGTAATTAAAAATCTCCCCAAAGAACAAAAGTCTGGAACTAGACGGCTTCCAGTGAATTCTACTAAACACTCGAAGATTTAATACATATCTTTCTCAAACTCTTACAAAACATTGAAGAAGAGGGAATGCTTCCTAACTCACTCTATGAGGCCAACAGTACCCTGATACCAAAACCAGACAAGGACAACACAAAAAAAGAAAATTATAGGCCAATATTGCTGATGAACATAGATGCAAAAATCCTCAATCAAATACAATGATACGCTAAAAGGATCACAGACCATGATCAAGCAGGATTTATTCCAAGAATGCAAGGATAGTTCAACATGTGAAAATCAATCGACACGATACACCACATTAACAAAATGAAGAATAAAAATCACACGGTGGTCTCAATAATGTAGAGAAAGCATTTGAAAAGATATGCATGCATTTATGATAAAAACTCTGAATAAAATGTATTCAGAAGAAAAGTACCTCAACATAATAAAGGTTGTATGTCACAAACCCACAGCTATTATCACTCGGTGTAAAACAGAAAGCTGCCCCTCTAAGAACAGGAACCAGGCAAGGATGCCCACTTTTGCCAATCTTATTTAACATAGTATTGGAAGTCCTAACCAGAGACGTCAGGCAAGAAAAAGAAATAAAGTGATGGAAAGGAAGAAGTAACACTGTCCCTATTTGCAAATAATGTAGTTTTTTTTAATGAGGAAGATTGGCCCTGAGCTAAAATCTGTGCCAATCTTACTCTCTTTTTTAGGTGGTTTGATGAGTGGTATGCAGGTCTGTGCCCGAAATCAGAACCTGTGAACCCCAGGCCACTGAAGCAGAGCACATGAATTTAACCACTATGCCACTGGGCCAGCCCAGATGAAGTGGTTTTATACACAGAAAAAAATAAAGAATCCACCAAAAAACTATTAGAAATAATGAACCAATACAGTAAAATTGCAGGGTATAAAATCAATATACAAAAATCAGTTGCATTTCTATACATTAACAATGAAATAGCAGAAAGAGAAATCATGAATGCAATCCCATTTACAATTGCAACAAAAAAGTATAAAATACTCAAGAATAAATGTAACAAAAGAGGTGAAAGACCTGTATACTGAAAACTATAAAACTTTGTTGATAGAAACTGAAGAAGACACAAAGAAATGGAAAGATATTTTGTGCTCATGGATTAGAAGAATTAACATAGTTAAAATGTCCATAGTTCCTAAAGCAATGTACAGATTCAATGCAATGCGTATCAAAGTTCCAAGGACATTTTTCATGAAACTAGAACAAAGAATCTTAAAATTTATATGAAACAACAAAAAATCCTGAATAGCCAAAGCAATCTTGAGAAAGAAGAACAAAGCTGGAAGTATCACATTCCCTGATGTCAAATTATACTACAAATCTATAGTAATCAAAACAGCATGATATTGGCACAAAAACAGACACACAGATCAAGGGAATAGAATCAAGAGCCCAGAAATTAACCCATACATCTATGGACAACTAAGTTTTGACAAAGGAGCCAGGAACATACAATGAAGAATGAAAGTCTCTTTAATAAATGGTGTTGGGAAAACTGATGGCCACATGCAAAAAAAAGAAAGTAGACCATTATCTTACACCATACACAAAAATTAACTCAAAACTGATTAAAGACTTGAATGTAAGACCTGAGACTATAATACTCCCTGAAGACAACGTAGGCAATATGGTCTTCGACATTGGTCTTAGCAGTATTTTTTGGAATATCATGTCTCCTTAGGCAAGGGCAACAAAAGAAAAACAAATGGGACTACATCAAACTAAAAATCTTATGAACAGCAAAGAAAATGATCAACAAAATAACAGAAAACTTAACAATTGGGAGGAGATACTTGTAAATCATATATCTGATAAGCAGTTAATATCCAAAATATATAAAGAACTCGTACAACTAAACAATAAAAAACCCCAAACAATCCAATTAAGAAATAAGAAGAGAATCTGAACAGATATTTTTCTAAAGAAGATATACAGATGGCCCAGAGGCACATGGAAAAGATGTTCA